AGGGGAGGGGGCAGTCAGCCCCAGTTGGTTGTGACATTTTACGGTCCTCTTCATATAATTTTATGGATTCCTTTTTCTATGTGTAGTTTTTAAAGTAAAATATAACCATTCAAAAGAAAACAATATTAAGATAACATTAAACGTGAGAACGTGCATGATTTGGTGTTATCGTGAATAAGGGGACAAAAAGGTCAAGGATAGCCCGGGAATCACTTATTATGATATAAACCACTGGATGTACGACTATTAAACGATGCGATGCTGGGGTAATCGATCTGCGCCTCTCTCACTGAATAATCGAATATTTCCTAGTTATTCGATGCTTTGGATATTTAAACAAAAAATAAATTCATCTCTTACCTAATAGATCAGATCTATAAGTAAGCTCTTACCTAATCTATCAGATCTATAAGCAAGCTTGCCTAATCTATTAGAGCTGTAAGTAAGCTCTTACCTAATCGATCAGATCCATAGGCAAGCTTACCTAATCTATTAGATCTATAAGTAAGCTCTTACCAATATTTTTAATGAAACATATTGACTTTATAGTTGTACAATAATTTAACAAACCTGTGTAAATGTATTCATTTATACCGATGCAGAACTTTTCTTTCATGGGCTACTTTCTCTCTCTCTCTCTCTCTCTCTCTCTCTCTCTCTCTCTCTCTCTCTCTCTCTCTCTCTCTCACACACACACACACACTCTCTCTGTACAACTTATTAGATACTCCCGTATATTATTTTGATATTATTACCTTTGAATTGAGATATTTTAATCTAAAAATCACACAATTATAGAACACAATTATAGAACACAATTATTGAAAACAATTTTAGAACACAATTATAGGACACATTTGTATTTTTTACAATAAAATAAACAAATAGAGTTAATTGTCATCTTGGTTGACACGGCCTCAGGCGACCCAGTTCATTTTTAGAAGAGACAAAATCCGTAGAACTAAAGCGAAAATTATCAATTTCAATAGCTCATGCATGATACAGTGACGAAGACTTAATCGGATAAGAAGACCTACTGTTTTCAAAACTTTCGATAGGCAACAAGGTTAATCCGGCACTGGATACATTTAGATACATGGATATTTAATCGTCCCAATGTCCTTCAAGTCAATCTTACATCAGAAAAGGTGGTCAAACACTGCAAATCTGTGTTTAGTGCGCATGCCCTGAAGGGTTTGTCACGTGGTCATCAGTTCTATGAAATATATGTTCTTTAACTTAAACAAAAAAAAAAAAAAAAAAATTT